TTTCTTAAAAATCAGTGCATTTCTTCTTGAATTTAGGAGGTAAGTGAGACACTTTAGTGATGGAACAAGACAATTTACATTTAGAATAAGACAAAACATTTGCATTGTCTTATTTCAAGTGCATCTAATTATCTTATTTTAAGAGTAAACATATGCATTCCATTGGCAAATTATCTTATTTTCCTAGTCAAATTAAGGGAAAATACACTTAATTAAACAAATTTTCACTTATTTTTAGGTTGGTTTTGCAGTGAACGTTTCTTGCATGTTTACATCAACAACCACTGGGCCATAGCAGCAAGTTGTGGAAGATTTTGAACCCTCCAAAGGTTAAAGGTTATATTAAAGCAACAAGGTCAGTGAGGTTAGGTAGAAAGGTTCCTGAGTTAGGTTTTGGGTAACAAGGCCATTGAGGTGTGTAGGGTTGGTTTCTTTTCAGCTCATTCCATCTGGTTTTACAGTTAATCCTCTCTCAAATATTAGGCTGATGGCAAGGGGGCTTTCCAACTTGAAATAATTAGTCTAACATCATATATAGATATATAAGTGGAACCATAGGAAACATTTAAAACGCGGTTTAACAGAGTATAAGGTTTGATTTTTGTAGTGGCAATATAATTCCACCGATTATCTAAAATAGTTTACATACATGTGTGTGGAATCTATCTTAAATACAATATAACTTGAATAATTCTGGGATCAACCACATAACTGTAGTACACGTACATGTTAAATATATGATTGTCAGTTCAAAGTATTTTATATAACGTTTATTGCTTAAGTGTTCGATCATTTTTTGTTTGATGAAAATTAACATCCTAGACTTAAAACATCAGTTAAGAAACTTTACAAAATAACAAGTTTATCCTTTGATTAATAGTGTTTATTTATTATTTACATTTATTTTTATTTTATTTATGCAATATGTTTTTTGTTTAACATTTACTTTATTCACACAGATAATGCCACTAAGAGGAAGGAGGCTCACATTCTGAGGCAATAATAGGTATTTGAAAAAGATAATATATAGAAGTCTTTCTGTTTGTTTTGGTGAAAGAATCAATACATGATTAAGGGAATTACTTAAAAAATATGAATACAAAAATAATGGTGAAGGAAAACTAAATTGTTGCTTCTATGAGTGGAAGTATAATGACACTGCGCACAATAATTATTAAGCATGTTTTTAATATTAAACTATTTCTGCTGACAGCAAAAATCAGGAAATTCTTATAATTATGTCAGCTTGATGCAATATCCAAGTTACTTGTGTAAATAAGTTTATGTATGTGAAAAAAACTTAAAGTATTGTCCTTCTAGTGGAGAGAGTTTATTGAAGAAAAAAAAGTGCCATAGTGTCTAGTTAAACACAGCCTCTTCTATAACAAACAAGTTGGGTATTTCATTGGATAGTGATACTGTAAGTCAAAGGGAATTTTGCCTTTATTTTAGTCTTACTACATAAAAAACAATCTCAGCAGGATTTTTCTGCCCTATAACAAATAAAATATCTGTGAAAGTGTGAGAAATTGTAGCTCCAGCTTTCAGATGCCAGGCTGTTTGTATTTCCTCTCTGTGCTGAGGTGCCAAATGAGAGACTTAAGAAGTTGCTTTTGTCTCTGCTGTGACCTAGTTGAAGGAACGGGCAGTGGTTCAGAAAACAAAAGGTTTTTCTGGTGATTCTGTGGGGCTCTTAAAACATAATTGGTATGCCATGAGATCTTTTTTATTTCCTCCATTTGTAAAATTCCTTCTTGTGTCTAGTCAAGGCTGAAAGAGATTTATATGTGAAAAGTTAAAGAAACCCTAAGAAAAACATTTCAAATAAGGATTAAGGTAAAAGACTAATTTTCATGGTGTGATGTTTACCATTCAAATGTCACATAGGGTGTGTCTGAATGTCCACCCAGATCACTGTATAGGGCACTATATAGTGGTTATGTCATTTTAAATGAGTGTCCGAACGTCTAGTGGGTGAATACGTAGCTGACACTAGACGAGCAAATATATCCCAGATTGCTTGGTGACAGCTCTCCTCACAAAGCATCATTGGATTTGTTCTCTTGGTGGTAAATAACAAAGATGGCACAGACACCATGCGGGAAGGCGGAGTAACGTGACCGATAGGGAGCAAAAAGCAGTGATAATCATCTTCACTATGAAATCTACTCCGTTCTATATAGTAATTGAGTGATTTAAGGGTTAGAGCAGACGTTCGGACACAGCGATGGTCTTTCTTTGAATTCAGTGATTTTCTTTATGATCAAACCAAAATGTTTTGCATTAAAGCACATACTTTAAAAACTCTGTTAATATAAACAAGAAAATAAATTCCTTGTAGCAGCAGATACTGATGTCAAATTTCCAATTCTTACAAACTTTTTAGTTATATATCAAGTTCTCTCAGGCTAACTGAGACTGTGATAAGCTGAAAGCACAGATATTAAAATCCTGATATGAACAACCAGAAAGGACCATTCTTTTTTATTATTGAGTAGATGGAATGGAAGTTTATTTTTGGATATTTATTTATTTAAGGATCCCCATTATTCTCTACGAGGCTCCATGCACTAACTTGAACAGGGAGAATTTGCATGTGTGGCAGGATTTCAGTCCGGGGAAGAGAGGTATGTTACAGATAGTCTTCTTTAGGACTGTGGTTCCAGCTCTATTTCAGTCCTTCTGTTTAGCTCTGGGCTAATTGATCCCTCACTATCCTCATCATCATTGATTCTCTGTGAGGAAATCAATGCATGGAGCCCAAGAACACAGAGATTCATTGTCATCTTAAAGTTTCTCAATTGTCTTATAATCAGATATTATAATTCTGTTAATATTTTTGTGCAATTTAAGGCTGGTGATGATGCAAAACAAGTATGTTTAACAAAGGGAGTCAAGACATATACTAAAGCAAAAGTTTTACACATGTTTAGCAGTTGCAGTATTCTCAAGGTATTTACATGATCCCTGCACAGCCTTCAAGAGCTGTTACAATTATACAGCTGAAATGATAGTACCTAAAAGTGCATTTTCCTTTTAGGCAATTACAGAAAAGCAAATTATGTGGAAACAATTAAACATGAAACAATGCATGATTTTGTGGTGGTATGGAGTTAAAAGACTTTGTGTTTATTTGCAGATACTTGGCAGCTGTAGAGAAACATGATGAGCGTGCTAATACCATTTACACATTACCCTAAGGTGGGTAATGTGTAAATAAATAATTTTTTCAATGTCACTGCAGTTCAAGTTAATTGTTAAAACAAGTAATTTAATCTGATACGTGCATATTGGGCTATTTTATCGTATTAGGCTATATATTTAAATTTAGCTTTAATGTAAAAGTATCATAGGTGGATGTATAAAATATTAAACAACTATCATAAAAGTTCACTTGAGAAATACCCAATAAGAGAATGTTGAAGACCATTTTAAAGACCAACCTCAGCTTTCAGAGATAGTGACACTTTAATGCAGTGACTAATTTGAAGTTTTTCCTAACAGGAAAGAACTCCGCCACTTGTCATTCCTCTCTATTTTTATCCTGAAAATCCTTCTCTTAGTGTCACTCTGCCACAAGTCACTAAAAGACATATCTGCATTCTACCTCTTTCTGTCTGTTACAGTGCTCTCACACATTGCACACACTATTTATGCAACAGATATGCTGCCTAATTTATACACTAGCAGTTATACAGTAGAACAGTATGACTAAATTTAGAAACTTCCATATGCAAAAAATATCTGATTTTAATGCACTATTAGTTTGTTTTACTCTTTAAGTAAAATCTTATCTAAAATCCATGCCCAGTTATAAACTATCATAGAGACCCAATACATTCAAGTTTTAACCAACACCAAATAACTTTTCTACCTTAAAAAAGTATTTTCATAACTAATTTCATTAAACATTGACTTACAACTAGTTGAAAGACACCTCTGCTATGATCCCAAGTGGACTGTATGGCTTCCACTAAGCAACTTTGAGGAGGGTGCAGTAACCCTGCAAGAAACTACAAATGTGCAGACTGCTGTATGGCTTATGTCCCTTGCCTCATTTGTAGTAAAGATGGAAGTCAATGCAACTTAACTTCACCGAGAGACGGTATATTCATGCAATTTGTGCAAGGCCATGACAGAGGTGATATTAAACTAGTTGCAAGTCGACATATAATCACAAAAATTATGAAAATATTTGATCAACGTTAAGTCACTTAGTAATGGTTTACCTACTACTTCTACTTTTTAGCATACAAAACCAGTTGAGTCTTAGCAATTTACAACAATTAAAACATGTGTGAGACTAATAATATGCATATTATTTTCAGGACCTAAAGAAACTCCCTAAGCCCAGTCTTTGTCTTTCTCTTTAGTTAAACCCGTGATGGAGCATAGTATGATTGTACCCAGAAATATTTGGCTTGTTTAAGAAAATCCATAGGGATTTAGAGGGGGACATTCTAAATGTTGATGAGTTGGTGTAATACTGATAAAAAGCTGTGTTTTAACAAAATATTGAGCTGTGCTTTGAAGATTCAAAATATCTTTAATTTAATTATTTTTTTTTTGACTCAGACCTTAATGTGCCCAACTTTAAAAGACTTAGACTTCTGTTGAAAGCAATAAAAAAATAAATTCTTAGATGTCTAGTTGTAAGCTTGACAGAGTATTATTATGTGAAGCAGCAAGCTCAAAGTGTACCCAGGCTGTCCCAAGAAGGCATTTGAGGGCTTAATGAAGGGACTGAAGCAAAAAGTTCCAGCTAACAAAAAGGTTAAGTCTGCAGTTCTCTAACAGGATATTGTGGTTCTAACACTATCCTTATTATCCTGGTATTCACATTAGCCCAAGACAGATTTCCTGCAGAAAAATTCAGATGTGTTACCCTTTTATTTATTTTTTTCTTTTCCAAGTAATTTACTTACATGTAATATTTTCATCTAGTTAACACTATGTTAAAGTACTAATTAAGGCTTAGTATTTGAACAAATAAGACTTACCCAGTTTATTGCTGCTTGGGACGTGCATGCCTTCATGATTCTGAAAAGAAATGAAACAAGCCTTTTAATAATTAAGCAAACCATCTGCAATAATAACCTCCATAAATCCAGCTTTAACAACATAAAACTGGGTTATGTGAAAATGCAGGTTTTATGCTGAAGCTCCTCTTCCTTATCACTAATGAAGAATTAATGATACAAAGTATTGAATCCCCTATGGCTTATTTGCTGAAATAATGGGCAATACTCCACGTCATTAGTCCTTCCCTAATTGTGTGGGTTTTGTGCCTACATCATTTAAGCTCCAAGTATTCAGCTCAATTAAGGCACTGTTCCACCTTCAGAGCTGTCAGCACAAGCTGCAGGCCATGGAGCGATGACTAAATCAATCACCAGCTATCAAAACTTTGACAAACTGCTTTCACCTTCGCCTTTCAGACAAGATCGTTCAGTCCTGAGAGAAGGCGAGAATGCACAGGCTCCATCCAGAGCAAGAGCGGCACAGTATTAATAGATAATGATAAACCGGGTTTGATTTATGACTTCCTCTAGACTAACAATCATTTTACTGGTGGGCTGTTGGAGGCTTCACAGACCTTAACTAAGTCATAAATTCCCCCTTATAGGATGTAGCACGGTGTTAAAAAGGAACCCCAACATTTTGATGATAGTGACTCCAACCAGCTTGCAAAAAGATTATCAATTTTCAAACTAAAAAAAAAAAAAATTAAATTATTTCATCCACTTGCAATTTATTTCTACTCCAGGCACGTTTCCTACCTCTCCTCATATTCAAATCTTGGATGTTTTGACATGCTCAAAATGAGACATGGAAACAATAATTTTAACACCTATACAGATATAGTCACAGCAATGATTTGTGAGAGGCCTTGTTTCTTTACCCCCCAGTAATCAGAGTAACAAGGAAATTTATGCATGGGCAGACAAGATCATATCAGGGTTATTTGATTCAGAGGCTACATCAGCTTAATTGGACTCAGTAGCATTAGTAATGGCCACAAGGTTTCTGTCTCATCTCATCAGACACTCCTCGTATGAAATCACTTTCTACCCGAAGAAAGAAGATGCCTCCAGAAAAAAAAAAGAAATAGTGTTTTTAGCTCAGAAAAATGTAAGAACATGACACAATATCAGATAACTAGCCCTATAAAATCTCTTAAACTACAAAATACATTCCACTGTACAGGTTATCATCATCGATGTGAATAATTTCTCAGAAACAGACGGCACATATGAAATTAAAAAAGAAATTATATGGCCCTGTTCTGATGTACATGGCAATTTATTTAAAGGAAGGACGGATGTTTTTTTTTTTTTTTTTTAATCATATCTCCTTCAACAAGAGGGTGACAGTAAACCACAGTCGTGTGACAGCCATGCAAACCTCAATTTACTGCTCTGTCAAACATCACTAATTAACCTGATTGTACTGGGGGCATAGAGCAACATGTTTTAATTGTGCCTGAGGGTTTTAAACTAATATTTCAAAAATGTTGATAAGTTTATGGGAGAATACATATTCTAACGGCATAGAGGTTGCAAATTCAGCAAAAAAGTGGATTGAATATAGTGCTTACTCTCAAACTGATAACATTCATAGCCTAAATGCATATATATATATATATAATAGGGATGGGCTAGTTATCGGTTTTAAGGTATGAAAAGGTCACACAGTTTCATAACTGCTAAATAACACTTCTGCAGTATATGTGTTTTAAATCTCATCAAAGAGAGTGTTCAGGTTGTGAGCAGGTGTAGTATCACTACCCCTCCCCCTGTGCTTGCCTAATTGATGGTGTGTTCAAACCAAACGGGATTCCAGGGGAGAAACTCACCACATTTGTGTGCTGTCACTCGCCTCACTCAGCCCAGCAATTCGCATGGAGGGGAACAGCAATTTATATGGTAGTTGACAAGCTCCACTCCTGTCACTTTATTGTGTCATCAAATACAAGGAGTTTCTATCTGCTTCTACCTGCTTCAATCAGCAAGCAGAAGATAGAAGCTCTTTCTATTTGTGTCATCAAATGGAAAGAGTTTTTATCTGCTTCAATCAGCAAGCAGGAAACAAAAGCTCCTTTTATTTATGTGATCAAATAGAAGGAGCTTCTATCTATTGGTTGCTGGTTTCAACTCAACATGGCAGACCTGGAAATTACCAAGTGAGTCGCAGTGCTTTATTCATTATGGAAAGTTAAACAGCGGTGCTGGCATTTCTGGATCAACCAGATTCTCCAGAGATGCTCTTAGTTTTGGTAATCCAGGATCTTCAGAATAGAGAGGACCTTAAACCCTAAAGCTTCAGAGTAGGATCATCCTCATAATGTAACAGAGGTAAGGTAAGGTGGGATTCTGAGGCTTAGGGAGAGCAGATGAAAAAAGTGCAAAAGAGCAGGGAAGAGGTGACAGGTGGCTGTGCTTGATCTGTAGTACACATCATCAGGCATCAAGTCATGAGACACCATGGAGAGTGTTCTGCTGCCTGCAGCATCCTTTAGCACGACTGCTTTGGCAATGGGTTAGTAATGGTGTGGGGTGGTCTTTGGAGGGTCGCATAGCCCTGGGTTCCTCCTAATACAGGGCAATGCTAGCCCTCATGTGGCTGGAGTGTGTCAATAGTTCCTGCAAGAGGAAGGCATTAAAGCTATGGACTGACCTGCCCGTTTCCAAGACCTCAATCCAATTGAGTTCATCATGTCTCAATCCAACTACCAATGTCATGTTGCACCACAGACTGTCCAGGGGTTGGCGGAGGCTTTAGTCAAGGTCTGGGAAGAAACCCCTGAGGATACAATCCACCAGCTCATCAGGAGCATGCCCGTGTTGTAGGGAGGACATAAAGGCAAGTGGAGGCCCTACACAATTCTGAGCTTCATTTTGACCTGTTTTAAAGATATTCTATTAAAGTTGGATCAGTCTGTCGTGTTTTTCAAATTTAATTTTGTGAGTTACTCCAAATTTAGGCCTCCACTGGTTAATAAATTTGATATCCATTAAAGATTTTTGCATAATTTTATTGTCAGCACATTAAGCTTTGTACAGGACAAAGTATTCTATGAGAACATTTAATTCATTCAGATCTATGATGTGTTATTAAATTGTTCCCTTCATTTTTTTGAGGACTGCATATGCCAAAAAATTTTCAGATTTGGAAAACACCTCTGGATGTAGTAAAAGTTTACATTTACATAACCTTCACACATTAATTTATAAGGTCAGTCTTAATTTACTATCTTCCGTGAGCAGTGAATCCTTCTGCAAAGTTCTCCACAACACTGACAGGTAGACTCGGGCAGCAAGCAGCACATCTGCGTTAAAAGAAAAGAGCAAATTGTCTCCAGATTTCACCTATCCATCCATCTATCCATACATCCATCCATTCATCGAGGCCCAGACATCCCTCTCCCCAGCCACTTGGGCTAGCTCCTCCGGGGGAATCCCAAGGCGCTCCCTGGCCAGCCGAGAAATAGTTCCTCCAGGGTGTCCTGGGCCTCCCCCTGCTCCTACTCCCAGTAGGACGTGCCTGGAACACCTCACCAGGGAGACGTCCCGGAGGCATCCTAATCAGATTCCCGAGCCACCTCAACTGGCTCCTCTCGATGTGGAGGAGCAGCGGCTCTACTCTGATACTCTGAGTCCTCCCCAGATGACGGAGCTCCTCACCCTATCTCTAAGGGAGAGCCCAGTCACACTACGAAGAAAACAAATTTTAACCGCTTGCATCCGTGATCTCGTTCTTTCGGTCATGACCCAAAGCTCATGACCATAGATGAGGGTAGGAACGAAGATCAACAGGTAAATCAAGAGCTTTGCTTTTTTGGCTCAGCTCTCTCTTCACCACAATAGACCGGTACAGCGCATGCTTCACAGCAGACGCCGCACCAATCCGCCTATTGATCTCCCGCTCCATCTTCCCCTCATTTGTGAACAAGACCTAAAGATACTTAAACTCCTCCACTAAGGGTGGTACATCCTCCCCAAACCGGAGAAGGCACTCTACCCTTTTCCGGCTCAAGACCATGGTCTCAGATTTGGAGGCACTGATCCTCATCTAGATATATATATTAAAAAGTTATGGTTATACTTTTGTTTATAATGTATTTAAAGCCTTTTTAATCACCTTCAGCCTCGTCAATATTGATAACACTGTCTCCTACAAATGGATCAATGCATTATCAAATATGCAAATCAGGTCATGGCATTATCTAACGACTTCTAGCGATGGTTAAGAAAACAGGTAGTGACTTTCATTCTTTTAAGTTATAGTGACAAGGACATTGCACATGGATGCAGCTGATTAACTGTACTTAAATGATGACTATATTAACACAAAAATTTACATCCATCAAACAAAAAATAAATACCCCAAAACGCATCTAAGGACTTTCAAGGTAGGCATCTTTATATGGCCTTTTACTAAAACTTTCCAGGACCTTGAAATTATTTTTTAAAACTCAAAAATTTTTAAGTATCTTCAAGGACCCACGGGAATCCTGTAGATAATTTCTATGAGGTGGGTTTTGATGTTCCTTCAATTGCAAAAGTAGGATATTAAATTTAATACAGAACATGATTAAAAGATGACTAAAGTTACAAGACAGCTGAGATATGCTGCATTGGAAGGAGTATTAAAGAGTAAACAGGAGGCACAATTCTTGACTAATTGGAATAATCAAAATAAGATGAGACAAGCATCAACAAAGGTATGGTAACAGTATTGTTGGGGAACCAAGACAATCAATAAATGTTCAGACTGTGTAACATTATTTTGGCAGTGACAGAGAGAATTTTATCGTATACAATGACCACACTCTTAACTTGAGAAGAAAGGCAAAGAAAGGATGGATGAGAATGAAAAAAAAATACCAGATTTAGAAGCATAGATTTGGTACTGACCAGAAGATATTCTGTTTTACCGTATTTTCACGACTATAAGGCGCACTTAAACGTCTTTTTTTCCCCTCAAAATGTGCTGTGCGCCCTTTGGTGCGG